GATTACAGGCGCATGCCACCACATCCAGCTAATTTTTGTATTTTTAGTAGAGATGGGGTTTCACCATGTTGGCTAGGCTGATCTCGAACTCCTAACCTCAGGTGATCCACCTGCCTTGGCCTCCCAAAGTGCTGGGATTACAGGTGTGAGCCACCTCGCCCAGCCAGGTCACACCTTTTCAAGTGACATTCAGCCCCCACAAAGGTGTACACTCACAGCAGCCCCATAACCTTTTCTCTAAGATATCAGAGAGACATCTTAGAGATGTCCCCCTCTGTTAAGGCCACCTTGAGGCCTTTAACCTTGGAATACATAGTAAATAGTAAAATTATTTATTAAAAGCAAAAAAAAAAAAAAAACCAGGATCTAGTAAGTGAGAAAACAATTACACTAAGGGTCAAAGCAGTATAACTGAATGTAAAACTAACCTCTGGGTTTCCTGATGTATTAGTCCATTTTCACCCTGCTAATAAAGACATACCTGAAACAGGGTAATTTATAAAGGAAAAAGATTTAATTGACTCACAGTTCAGCATGGCTGGGGAGGCCTCAGGAAACTTCTGATCATAGCAGAAGGGGAAGCAAACATGTCCTTCTTCAAATGGCAGCAACAAGGAGAAATGCCGAGCAAAAGGGAGAAAAACCCCTTGTAAAACCATCAGATCGTGTCAGAACTCACTATCACGAGAACAGCAGCATGGGAGTAACTGTCCCCATGATTCGGTTACCTCCCACCGAGTCCCTCCCACAACACCTGGGAATTATGGGAACTACAATTCAAGCTGAGATCTGGGTGGGGACACAGTCGAACCATATCACCCGACAATCAAGGCAAAGGATAAATTAAATGAATTACATCATTTTTTATATAAAATAAATGGCATTGTATTTGCTTTTCAGGAAAGGTCAATTTTATCTTGTTCTAATTTGTAAAAAGTTTATTCAAAGGCCTTATTATAAGGGATATTGAACAATATAATGCACATTATTTTCAATAACACTTTTACATAAAGGCAGACATTTCACACATGGCCATTTCTTAGGTCAATAATTAATCAGAATTTAGTAAAGGAAGATAGCTATGTAGGAAGCCACAGAAAGGTAATCCAAGAATGTGGCTTTAGCTTGATATGGCTCGACATGAACATAAAGGTATAAAGGAATCAGAGATATAGTTCCAAAACTATATATATCATTTTATCATACATGGGCACACACATATATAACACATGCCCCAGTTCCACATTGTAGAAGCTTCCCATTGCTCTCAGGATAAAGACAAAAACTCTCCCTCTGAACACTGAGGCCCTCCCAGCCTCTTCCCTGATTTCTAGTTCCCCTCTCTGCAGCTACACTCATCCCTCAGCTCCTGATTCTCACCATTTGACTTTCTATGCAGCACTGCCACGCTGCTGTTCCCTCTGCGTGGAACGTTCCTTTATCTCTAGTTACAAAGCTGATTCTCCAAGGGGAAAGCCAGTCTAAATTAATTTAAATTGGTTGCATGAAATGTTTTGGAAGGATCAATGGCTTTAAATATTTCAATATATACAATCATATAATGTTGGAAATGGATGTTCGGTGCCACGAAGAAGAATTAGCACTGAGACAAAGGATCTTTCAGCAATGTAATTTTTTACTTCCTGGACTGCAGGAAGGATATTCTCACTAGCCATCTTGCCACAAGAGTACAATGAATAAAGGAAAACAGACAAATTTATTCCTTACACATTTGGGGTTGTCCTTACTGCTGTGTCTGATCTCCGTTGGCTGGAGCCAGACCCCATAATCTAAACTAAAACCCTACTGGCTAACAACTTAAAACTTTTCTAAACAGGTAAAAGCAACAGAGAGCTCGGGCATGCCTGTGATCACGTCCAGCACAGATATCTTGGTTAAAGTACAAGGACATAGAATGTTCTACGTGCCTGTAAGCATAGCATGTCTAACAGCTACTTAGGATAGGGCTTAACAAAGTTATTAGCACACTTATTCTTTAACAAGGAAGGAAACTTTAAAAAGGAACTTTTCTACTTCCCACATATAATTAGACTAAAAATGTTTTGTCTACAATCAGCTGGAGGGACATACAGTAAGATGTAAGTGGGAACCTAAATAAAATCTTCAGTGGCTTATACATAGTATCAATCAGTTCTTAAAACACATGAAATCACTTCTGATTAAATAGTCCCCTGCTATCTTATTTATTAATTTCATTTTATTTAGGAAATGAATTTTTCATAACGTAAAGATAGACTGCAATTTGGCCTCTACCCAAATTATCACAAATTCTTAACTAGAATTTTCTCTGCAGTGTAATGGAGAAATGAAGATAAATAATAGATATCTTCAATTAAGTTCTGGAAGCCTTTGCTCTCTTCTTTTGAATAGATGTACAATAGAAGGAAAAAATTTAACTTAAAGGATTATAAAGCTGGAAGAATCTTGAGACATTATCTGGATATACAACACCACTTAATTCTTCTTCTCAGCCAGATGAAGATAAACCCTCTGTTTACCAAAGACCTTCTGAGAAGGTGCCTCTGTAGGGCCTCATTGCTCTACTTACCTGCCTTTTCTTCCAAAAGGGTGGAGTTACCAAGTCCACTAATGGTGATCTGTGTTCATTTTGTTATATGAAGTTTAGAAGAGAATAAGATGGGTACATTCCAAAAGTGACTGATAATTTCCAAGTCATTTATTTGTGACTTTCAAAGTTGTTACATGATTCTGCCATGACAAATTTATCTTTTTATTTTTTAAATCAATAGTACAGCAAAGTTGCATGCATTTTCCTAAGGTCTCCTTTATTTTATTTTATTTTATTTTTTTTTGAGACAGGGTCTCATTCTATTGTCCAGGCTGGAGTGCAATGCTGCAATCACAGCCCACTGCAGCTTCAGCCTCCCTGGCTCGGGTGATCCTCCTGCCTCAGCCTCCCTAGTAGCTGAGAATACAGGCGTTAGCCACCATACCTGGCTAATTATTTGTAGATAATTAACAACGAGGGACTCCCCTTTGTTGTCCAGGCTGGTCTCAAACTCCTAGGCTTAAGTGATCCTTCAGCCTCAGCCTCCCAAAGGACTGAAATTACAGGTGGGAGTCACCATGCCTGGCCCTTCTAAGGTCTCCTCTGAAGCTCTTCTTAGTGTGCCCTTGCCTTAAATATTGTTTTCCAATACTTCATTTTCAGCTAACTTCCATTTTAACTGTATACACTTATCTGATCTCAGCTATTTCCTGCATGTCTCCTAACGCACAAATCTCCTGAGATCCAGGCCTACAGGTTGAAGGGCTTGTGGACATCATTCTAAATTGCATAGGCCCTTCAAAAATGGCATCTTTGGGCAGCGAGGTGTGGGGGGAAGTGACATCTTTAAATCTGAATTTATCACCTAACATGTCCTCTAGCCTCATCATTGCCCTAAATTTCATCAGCAGGTACCACCAACACCACTAAACCCGAAAACTATCCTGTTTCTTTCTTTTATCTTCAGTATAAGAAACCACTATGTTGTATTATTCTACCTCCTAAATATCACTACACCACTGCTGATTTGGTGCATTCCTCCTTATTCACTGCCCTCTGACCTCCTGCTATCCTTCAGGAATCTCAAACTCTGCAGTTGCCCAGCACACTATTTTCCCTCCTACCTCTGGACGTTTGTTTGCACATGGTATTTCTCTCACTTGGAATGTCCTCCAAGCAGGTTACATGCATGGCAGACAGCATATTTCTCTATAAGCCTGCAGTTCCTGAAGCCTTCTCTCTCACTTCCAGGTTAAATAGGTTGTTCTGAGCAGTATTTCCCTCCCATCTTACATAGATCCCCATTAGAATACTTTTTTGTTTTGTATGGTAACTATTTGGAGCCACATGACGGCCTATGTTTGCATCCTGCATGGGTGTCAATGAATAAATGAACAAACAAACATCAATGAGTGAAAAAGAGGAATCCTCCCAAAAGTAGTATGTTGGATTAAGATTATCCCATGATATAAATAAATAAATAATTCCTACGTGGATTATCTTGAGCTGACTGCATTTGATTTGGAATTCCATATTTAACTCAGAGATTGTTTTTGCTAAGTACGGTCATCTTTGTTTACCTAGCCAGAAAGAAGCTACTGCCTACTTGATATAATTTGAAAGATGCCAATGGTCTCCAAGTCACCTCTGTCCAAAACTGACCTAGGTACCTACCTGTATACTGCCAATAGTGTTGCCACTTTAGATGTTGGCAGGATGTCCAGAAAAACCTGTTCAAATCTCTGGCAAGGGTAATGTGTTTACATTTCCGTGTCCTCAGATTTATCAAAAACAGGTAAATCTCGATTAGCAAGGAGAAGGCAGGCCAGGTCCACAAAGGACCCATTCTTCCCTTTTTTCTGTTTTCAGGATTCATTCTCTGTGCTTCTCCTCTTTTGTGGTTCTCGTCCTTAGCAAAAAAGAGGCTAAGTTGAGTCTTAGATGCCACTTTTCGTGCTGAACCTCTATCATTTATTTCTCTGACATGGCTGAGAAATTCACGTTGATGCTTGCCATCAAAACTCCTTCACTTACTCTTGAATCATGACTACCTGTGGCTATCTGCTGACTAGCCACTGTGAGTTAGGCTGTGGGAGAAGGAAGAAGGGACTGGAAGTGGTGCTCGGAGAATAAAAATTTGATGGGACACTTTCAGAACTACAGTTAGGGATCAAATTCATCAAATAAGTAGGTTTCAGAGAAAAATGTGTACACTCATTTTAGTCCAAGCTAAATAATTCTTAATCCAAAATCTAACTTACCTTGATGTTTTGTCTGCTAATATGTCTTTGTAGTAATAATTCAGGGAGGGCGTTTTGATTACATATTATTCTATTACTACTTGCCGTTCCCCCATTTCTCTGTGGTTTTCCCGCTCACTCATTCCTTCTTCAGTTCTTCTAGGTACTGTTTGGATCTGTAATTTATGCCAGTGGTCTCATGTATGTATGAAGTGATTACCAAATACCGCCTACTTCTTACTGGAGTCAGGTTTTGCTCCTATAAAAACAAATTGTGAGCCTACACTCAGCAACTTCGGAGAAGGTAACTCAGCACTTTGCTCTGTTTCTCTCTACAGGTAAACAAAATAAAAACTCCGAAACAAATAGATGAGCTGATTGAAATTGAAAGTGACACAGGAACATGGTATAGGAGGTGTTTTGTTCGGATCCGCACGGAGCTGTACGGAGTAAGTAGCAAGTCCCATGATGACCTGCGTGTCAAATATTGCATTTGAGGTTAGTCAGAAGAGGGGTTTACTGAATGTGTCCTGTGAGTGAGGTTCTTTCCTGTTGGTAATTGGATCCCTCTCTACCAGCATTTAGCCAATACTTTCCATCTGTGGGAAGGGAAGGTGTTAGGCCAGGAGTCTTGGCAGCGGCCAAGTGCCTTCAAGTCTTGAGTTACTCCAGGAAGCTGAAGAATGAAAATTCCGATTGCCTTTGGCTTTTACATTTTAAGGTGAAATGAATTCAACCCAGTGACAAGTCAGCTTTTTTTTATAATTTGGTAGAAGGGGTCAGGGAGTGGGGTTGACTAAGTAACTGTATGAGAAAACTGACTCTTTAATATTTCACAGATTTGGTTGACATTTATGAGATGCTTCAGCTACCCAGTCAGGGATAATACAATAAAGCTTACAATTGTTTGGTTCACGTTGTCCTTTGGGTAAGTGATATTTAAATTCTTGGCGAGCAAAATCATTCAATGTCTGCATTGTAACTCCCAGCCATGCTGCTTTCTTTTCTTATACTGCTTGATGCTGTTAACCTGCTAAAAAAGAAAATTTTTTTCAGATTAGATTTGCTGAGAGTTACAGTTTTCATAAACCATTATTTTATTTGTTTTGTTGTAAAGCCAAGGTAGCAAAACCAATTAATTGTATTTGCAAAATCCAGGAAGAGCCTGGATAATTTGCCCATGACTTCTCCTCTGTCCTCTCCTCCTTTACCCAGCCCCAGCCATACCAGCCTCTCTGCTCTTCCTTAAACATTCTAGAACAGTTAGTTCCCATCTCAGGCCTTTGCAGTGGTCCTCTGTCTGAGTTGCTCTCCTCTCCAGACGTCTGTCCGGTTCATTCATTTCTTTACCCTCTTCAAGTCTTCCCTCCGATATCACCTTCTCAGTGATGTCATTCTCTCTTTTAAAAAATTGCAGCCCTTCCACACTCCATATCCCCTTCTCAGCTCTACTTTACCCCACAGCACTTTCTGCCTTCTAATATGTAAAACACTCCTTTATTCTGAATAAAGAATAAAGCTCTGGCTTCCCTCTCTGGAAGCTCCATGAGGACAGGGGTTTTTAACTGCCTTGTTCAAAGCTGAGTGTGGTGCCATCCACCTATATTCCACGCTGCTCTGGAAGCTGAGGTGGAAGATGCTTGACTCCAGGAGTTAGAGGCTGCAGTGTTCTATAATCACACCTGTGAATAGCTACTGCCCTTGAGCCTGGACAACATATCAAGACCCCATCTCCAAAAAAATAAATAGTTTTCTTATGTCTTGTTCACTGATGTATATTCCTTGCATATAATAGCAGCTCAATAAATAGTTGTTGCCAAAATGAATAAAACTGCCAATATGTTTTCTAGGAAAAGAGGAATTATGGAGAAAATATCAAGATTTTATTTGCTAATTACTGACATAGTCACTTTAGAATGTGTGTATACAACTCTATTGTTGCCTAATTTGCTGTTTAAAAAAGAAACATTAGATAATACCCTACACTTTCAGGTCAGCAGGATCTCAGCACCTTATAGAGCCTAGCATTTACGTTGCAAGTTTCATCTCTTAGCATACCTAAATCAAAGCAGGCAAAGATGACCTCTCTTTCTCAGTGCCAGAGGAGGTGGAATATGGAGAAAAAAGGAAGCTGGGGGTCAGGAGACCTAGCAGCCCATTCTGCTGGGTGACTTAGTTAGCTTGTGACTTGGGGACATTACTTAGCCTCAGTTCCTCATTTCTAAAGAAAGAGGGTTGACTTAAAATATGTAAAGTCATTCCCACCCAAGTTCTAGAAAATCTATTAATCTCTGAAGGAAGGGAAGACTGAAAATTAACCTATATTAAGTGCTCACTCTGTACCTAAGCACAGTGTTAGGGACAGAGAAGACAAAGATAAGCAAGAAGGAAGTCCTGCTGTCAGGGTGTAAAGAGGAATAATCATTATCTGGTTTATTTTGTTTACTAATTCGTTATTGATCAGTTTTTAAGCTTGATGATTTGTTTTACTGCGATGTCCCTGGAACCTCAGTAGTGCCTTGTATTTAGTGCATGTTCAGTAAATGTTTACTAAATAAATGAAAACTTAGCCAAAGTCCTTCACATCATTGATGATGGACATTTCAGGGTAATATGCCCCCCTCATTATTGCCATTTCAAGGTCTGTGCTCCATGTGTGTGACTAGAGAATAATGCCATAGACGTTGTACCCCTAAGTCATTTCTTCCTCAGTAACCACCCTAACACCCCCATAGTCATTAATTCATGATCTATGAAGAAAAGGGGTGGGAATCCTGAGGCACAGATGTTTCTGGAATCCTAATTACAATGATGATAAGAACAACTTGGCTGAGCGCAATGGCTCACGCTTATAATCCCAGCACTTTGGGAGGCCAAGGTGAGTGGATCACCTGAGGTCAGGAGTTCAAGACCAGACTGACCAACATGAAGAAATTAGCCATCTCTACTGATAGAAAAATTAGCCAGGCATGGTGACGCATGCCTGTAGCGAACCTCCAACTCAAAAATAAAAAAAGCTCATATTGTCTTCTGAGCACTTTCTATGGGCTAAGTACTTCACATCCCATTTAAACTGAGCCATCACCCAGGAAGGTAGATACTCCCATCATTCTGATAGTAGAGATGGGCAACTGAGGCTTAATTAAGTGGCCCAAGTTTATGCAACTACTAAGTGACAAGACCAGGATTCAGGCCCAGCCTATCCTCCTGCAAAGGCTATGCCCAGACCCACTTGTTTTCCTGTGTAGCTAAGCATCACTGGAGATAGACCAGAGCAGTGCTTCTCAAACTTGAAAGTGCATCAGAAGAATCCCTGGAGGACTCCACCGCCAGACTTTTTAATTCATCAGGCCTCACTGGAACCTGGGTTTGTGGGGCATGATGATCCTGCTGGTCCAGAAACCTTACCTTGGGAGGTACTACTTTACAACAGCACTGTCCAAAAGAGATATCATGTGAACCACAGATGTCGTTTCAGATTTTCTAGTAGCCATACACACACACACACACAAAGTAAAAGGAAACAGATGAAATTAATTTCAATGCATTTTGTTTAATTCATTCTCTCTAAAATATAGTATCATTTCAATATATGAGCAGCATAAAAATTATTAGCAACTAATTTTACATTCTTTTTTTTGTAAGTCTTCAAAATCCTGTGGTATTTTATATTTATAGTATATCTCCGTTTGAACTAGCCACATCTCAACTGCACATTGTAGGCACATGTGGTTAGTAGCTTCTGTGTTGAACATCACAGCAGCATGACACAGCTGTTAGAATAGAACATTAGCAGTCAAGAGGCAGAAAGGGGAAATAACTTGGAATTTCTGAGAATAACATGAGTGTCCTTTTCACAGCCTTGAACTACCTTGGGAACTGGTGCTCCACCCCCAGGTTTGCAGTATCACAGTAGTGTAGGAACCAAGAAAGATTTCCATTAGCAAAAGAAGTCATCCTTTAAGGGCTCTCACCATGCTTGGATCCAGGAGTTTGCACCACCAGACTAGGAGAGAGAGTTTCTCAGAGCAGCCCAGAATGATGAGAAAGATATTGGGGCCAGGATGCCAGGTGTCTTACTCTATTTCTGCCACTATAGCAAAATACCACACTGGGTAATTTGTAAACAATAGAAATTTTATTTTTCATAGTCCTGAAGGCTGGAAGTTCAAGATCAAGCTGCTGGCAGATTCATTGTGCAGTAATGGCACAGTCTCTGCTTCCAAGATGGCAGCTTGTCGCTGAGTCCTCCAGAGGGGACAAATACTGTGTCCTCATGTGGTAGAAGGGATGGAAGGGAAAAAGTGAGGGAGGCAGCACCCTCACACCTCTTTTTATAAGGACATTAGTCTCATTTATTGAGGTCTCTGCCCTCATAACTTAATCACCTCCTAAATCCCCCACCTCTAATACTATTATATTAGGGTTTAAGTTCCAACACATGAGTTTTGGGAGGACACGTTCAGACCAGGCACTGTGTATGGGCATAGGATGGGATGTTTTCTGCATGTCTCTTTCCAAAGAAAAAGTTTAAGAATTACATACCTGGGGTTCTTCAGCTGGATTCTCCAGATAAATCTAGGCCGTCTCTCAAGCTTGATTTTTGCAAATTAATGGTGAGGGAGAGGGGCACATGAATTGCTGTATGGTAATTTACTCATAATGTTGTAGAGACTCAGCCAACTATTACCACTCTGAAAACATCAGGGAGGTGCTCATTGCCTCTGGCATGCTAGCGCCTTTACAAACTCACATTTCTTTGTCTTTGCAGGTACTATGGATTATCTGTTTGGTTCCCTGATGTCATTAAACATCTGCAATCCGATGAATATGCATTGCTAACCAGAAATGTGCAGAGAGATAAATATGCAAATTTCAGTATTAACTTTACAATGGAAAATCAGATTCATACTGGAATGGAATACGACAATGGAAGGTCTAGAAACTTGAAATAATTTAATTTGCTATCTATTCACAAAAACTAATTTCTTCTTAGCCTTCCCTGCATGGAAACATGCATAGTTTTTGTTGTTTGTTTTAGTTTGTACATTTAGTCATTTTTATGGTGAATTTCAATACTTCCAAATGGTCTTTAAATAAAAGGTACAAGTGTATTTGTTACTTAAAGCTGTTTTTGCAACTGAGTTGCTTCAAATTTATTAAGTAGTGGTGTGGAAAGAAATTTAGAGCAATGTTGGAGAGCAACAAAAATAATTTAAGGAAGAGAAAAGAGTATGGGAAAATAAGACAGGCTACAGGATTATTTAATTCACAGAAGAAATCCGAAATGTGATTATATGAGTCTTCTATTCCTGAGAAACAGAACCACTTTTCAGAGTTCACCCTTCCCCACTATGTTGAATCCAGAATTGGGGTTAAATTGTATCAGGAAGAGTTTCATTAGAGAACGGAATCATTTCCCAAAGTAAAGGACTTTGAAAATGAAAGGGTCTCCTTTATGGGATCTGAAATACTTCTTGGTGACAAGAGAGAACTGACTCAGGGAGGTGGTTCTGGGTCATTCTTTTAGAAAGGGAAAAGAATAGACCAAGTATTTATTTACATCCAAGCATTTTTGTTGCCTTAACAAATAATTGCCTGTATAAGTTCATGATGGTTTACATCATTCTTAGGAAATTGGCCCAATTTCAAAAGTGATAAAAGTAAAACTCTAAAATAATCAAAGTTGCCCAGAACAAAAACCAGTTTAGAAATATGAAAAAGAATTAAGTGAGATTCTTATGATCTGTGTAATGGAAAAGAGGGTTACTAACTAGGAGGTAATTGTTCGAATTAGCAATTCAGTGAAGGAACTAATCATAATCTAAGCCAAGTAGGATCACCTTCAGTCTCCCATGTAAAATACTGACTTGAATCTGCACTTATATTTCACAGAAAGTCAAGTGCTCTGTGATGCCAGGGTGAAAATTGACTTTGAAAAGTATTGTTACTCCATTAGAAATTTCTAATATATGTTTGTGTCTCTGACAGTCATATTTTTAGTAATATTTGTTAGAGTTCTAAACTGGATATTCAGTCACTGCTTAGAACTTTTTACATTAGCAATATAATGATTACTAATTTTAATAGTATTAAAATTTTTGTGAACCATATATGTTACACATTTATTTTAAAAGATGATAGAAATATTTTTTGTCCTTCAGAAAAATTTGAAATACCATTAACAGACTCATTTTTTAGAAATACTTTTCCTATTCCCCATCAGAAAAATGGCAACTATTTATGCACTGACATGGAGTAACCTCCAAGGTAGACCAGAAGGAGATAAAGCAGGTCTACTTTATGCACAGAATGCTCCTGGAAGAGCACACAAGAAACTGACAGCAGTGGTTATTCTGGGCAGAGGAACTTGTGGCCTGGAGGTTGATGGGAAAAGACTCACTTTTTCCATCTTCAGCCTTTCAAATTGTGCACCATGTGTACTCTGTGTATATATTATCCATTCAAAAAATAAAACTGATTCCCTTTTCCAAATTCAGTTCCATGACAGAAAAATGGATAACTTTTTAAAGATGTGCCATTATTTAGCCTCTTTTGGTGCATTTAGATGTTTTTACTCTGGGTCCCTGGGGTGGGGATTGGAACAAGATTATTATTATTATTTCCAGGTAATATACCATGAGAATGATTTTTTTTAAGCTGATTGGTCTGTGAGGCCACAGTGCATTTTGAACGAACACATGTAATTGGGTATTAGGGAGAAAATAAATTTGGAAGTACTCAATAGTTAGTAAATTACTTTTAAATCAGCCCACTTACCTAGAAGGATAAATCCCCTTCTGCCCCTAATAAGAGTGGTATTGACATAATAATTCCTTCCCCAGGAGAACAAGCATTTTCCTCCCAGTGACTGGCTAAGTGTACATTCATAGTCTCTTAATAAAATACCAAGATGCATTAATGAATATTTATCTGTGTCTGTTGGGAGTCCTCATCAGTGCTGATAAGGTCTGAATCATGGATTCTTCTAAGATGTTATTATTATGACTATTATCATCTCTACCACGTAGAATTCCCCTTATAACACCCAAAAATGTGTCTGAATAGGTATCATGTTTCTAAAAATAAGCAGAGCTCTCATAATTCTATTTGGTTTGAGGACTCTCTGTTGGCTGTAAGAAGAAAAATTATCCTGGAAATGAGTATCACCTGTGAATTTCTTCACCCCCAAGTCAGTTATGCGTCACATAAATGAAACAGAATTCTCAGGCCTTCTCTTCAGGATAATTGGAGCTCCCTACACTAGAATCAAGAAGAGTTGGATTTTCAGCTAGGGAAAAATAATTTGATTAAAAGATCAGGTGGGAGGACATCCTTAAATTAGAGGCATTAACCCCAAATAGAGAATATTCAAATAAAGATATATGTGAAGAGACAAGACAATACGATTAAAAAATAAAGAATAGCCCCAGGTAATCCCCAAACTATCTTCAGTTGCATATCCCACAAAATTTTTACCAACATTGCAAAAAGCCGAGGGAAGTTAGGAGTGTCATCACTTTTCCTGGTGAAAAAATAATATTGGTAAGCAACAAAAGAGCCTAAGGACAGCCTGGATGAGGAAAAAGGGAAAAAGCAGAGGGCTAAGAAAACCTAGAAGTCTGTGTTCTTTATAATTAAGACAGTCCACAGTGGGACATTCCATCTCTAAAACTGTTTGACTTAGCTTTGAACTTTGATGGACACAGCCATTGATTGATATGAATTTTTTTGTGTGTTGGGCAGATTTGTAGGGGTCAAGTTCAAATCTGTAACTTTCAAAGACTCCATTTTTAAGTCCTGCACCTTTGAGGATGTGACTTCACTCAACACCTACTTCAAGAACTGCACGTTTATTGATACTGTTTTTGACAACACAGGTAAGTGTGCTGCTTAGCACTGCCTCTACCTGAGGCCTCTTCAAAGGGCCCGCTATGATGACCGTGATAGTGTGGGCAGAGACTTATATGGCAAGTGGGTATTAAAGAATAAATGGAGCAAGTTCCTTAAATCAGGTCGGATCAAAGGTTGGCTTGTATCGTTTGTCTTTGTCAGATTTAATGCAAATGGAGCTTGCCAAAGTTAAAAAGTTGACAACAACAACAAGAAATCCTTTGATAAACACATTTTTTTTTTTTGAGATGGAGTTTTGCTCTTGTTGCCCAGGCTGGAGAGCAATGACATGATCTCAGGTCACCACAACCTCAGCCTTCTGGGTTCAAGGGATTCTCCTGCCTCAGCCTCCCAAATAGCTGGGATCACAGGCATGCGCCACTACACCTGGCAAATTTTTTTTTATTTTTAGTAGAGACAGGGTTTCTCCATGTTCGTCAGGCTGATCTCAAACTCCTGACCTCAGGTGATTTACCCGCCTTGGCCTCCCAAAATGCTGGGATTACAGGTGCAAGCCACAGAGCCCAGCCTTGGGGAATACATTTTTAAAGCAAAGAGGTAACCTGTAGTTTATTTGTTTTGATAATCCTGAGTTCAAAATCTGGTGTTTAAGTGCCTCAACTCTATAGCCAACAGAGATAGACAACATGTGGCTATGCTCAATCCATATAATGGGTATTTTTTTAACTCCCAGGAGGGGGTAAAAAAGGAGAGAAACAAGCATTGATTGAATACCCATATACTGTTTTCTATTCCAGATTATTAGACATTCATTATCTCATTTAGTTTTCACAGTAGCTGAGGCTTAGGAAAATTAAGTAATTTGTCCACAATTATAGAACTAGGAATAGCAGATGTTTGAACCCAGATTTATCTGATCTCAAAGCCTGTGCTTTCTGCTTTCCCAGTCCCAAACATTGGTCTGTGTGTCCTGTAAAATGAACCCAGCATAAGAGCCTGGCATTGGCAGGAGCATCAGCATTTGCCCTGTTGCCAGACCTGTCTTCTTGGTGCTCAGACAGGAACCAGCTCTGCCTAGCTCCAAAGGAAAAAGGGGTCAGGTGTCTTTCTGTTTCTTGTTTTTTAAGCAGTGCTATCTACCTGTCTTCTAACCCATTAAACTTCAGAAGACCAACATTTTGTCAGATCTTGATCAGCAAGGAAGATAGTTTTGATTCTCACAGCCTTTTAGCAGAAACCACCACCATCTGCAACTGTTTGGATGGTTTCAAATGCAAGAAAAGATGAGCAATGAATGCTGGTGACCTTCAATGAGGCTGACTCTTGTTTCTCAGTAGATTCATGCAATAGACTTTAAATTATAAATTCAGCCTCAGGAAAGACTTGTTCCTTCTCTCTGTCCTAGAGTCTCATAAAATGGCAATAATAAGGCTGACTCTTTCAAATTTTTTTTCCTTTAGAGACTGGGTCTTGCTCTGTCATTCAGGCTGGAGTACAGTGGCGCAATCACAGCTCACTGCAGGCTCAAATAAAAAATTATTATTTGTGTGTGTGTGTGTGTGTGTGTGTGTGTGTGTGTGTGTGTGTGTGTATGTGTGTAGATGGTGTCTCATTTTGTTGTCCAAGCTAGTCTTGAACTCCTGCCTCAAGCAACCCCCCCCGCCTCAGCCTCACAAAGCACTGGAATTACAGGTGTGAACCACCACACCCAGCCCATGCACATTTTGAAACAAATTGTTTTTATAATTGTCGTATGGACACTATTAGTAGTATAATGATGGTCTTTATGTAACCTGATAATTACAACAAAGTAATATTGTAAAAGAGTAAGCAAGTAATATAATTAGCAAAGGCCAACTATAGGAAATCAGAAGATAACTGGATCCCTTAATTTAATTTATTCCTTTATTCAATAAAGGTATCTCATCATTCAGCTACTTTATAATGTGAAGACCCAGACTCGATCTTATGCTTTGGCCAAAAGACACAAAAAGTCAAGCCAGCACAGGCCTGAAAGCCCTTGAGGAATTTACAATACTGTGACTCCTCTCTGAATTCTCAGTCGGCTTTCTTATTTGGTGCATGCTTGGTAAGAACTTGATGAATTGTCTTTGTTGTCGTTTCTACAGATTTTGAGCCATATAAATTCATTGACAGTGAATTTAAAAACTGCTCATTTTTTCACAACAAGACGGGATGTCAAATTACCTTTGATGATGACTACAGTGCCTACTGGATTTATTTTGTCAACTTTCTGGGGACATTGGCAGTATTGCCAGGGAACATTGTGTCAGCTCTCCTGATGGACAGAATTGGGCGCTTAACAATGCTAGGTATGTACCCAGTTTCATGTCAAATAAAATCCAGAGGGACCCTGTTTCTCACTGTACTCCCAGCCATTAGGGATTTGCATCCAATGAAGAGAAATCCCTTAGATCTTACATTAAGACTAAATTATAGTGAAAATTATGTCTAATTACATTTCATTTGAGTGGTTTTCATGAGTTAACAGCTGAAAAACTAATTATGTGTAACCAATGTATATTTTCCCATTTACGTAGCAGAGTAATAGATGATATGCATTTCGTACTTTCTGTGTTCAAAGGCAGTTAGAGCCTTTCATTCAGGCGAATGCACCAGTTCTTCAGCTTTATGGAGCCCGTTCTAAGCTTCCACTTAGAATTCAGCTTTCTTGAGTGATCCCAAGGACCCAAGGGTTCTTGCTTTATGAAGATGATGGGAAACATTCCAGCCTTTTGTCTGCATTGTTGGCAGGTGGCTCTATGGTGCTTTCGGGGATCAGCTGTTTCTTCCTTTGGTTCGGCACCAGTGAATCCATGATGATAGGCATGCTGTGTCTGTACAATGGATTGACCATCTCGGCCTGGAACTCGCTTGATGTGGTCACCGTGGAACTGTACCCCACAGACCGGAGGTATGTTGAAATGAGCTTCTAGTAAGAGGCACTCCAAGCCCCATGGGACCACTAAAAAATTATTTTAAAATAAGCCAAACTGACTGGGTGCAGTGGCTCACACCTGTAATCCCAGCACTTTGGGAGGCCGAGGCAGGTGGATCATCTGAGGTCAGGAGTTCAATACCAGCCTGGTCAACATGGTGAAACCTATTATCTACTAAAAATATAAAAATTAGCCAGGTGTAGTGGCAGGCATCTGTAATCCCAGCTACTCGGGAGGCTGGGGCAGGAGAATCACTTAAAACCAGGAGGCAGAGGTTGCGGTGAGTGGAGATCATGCCACTGGGCGACAGCATGGGTGACAGAATGAGACTCCGTCTCAAACTAGAACAAAAAGCTAAACTCTCTCTTCCTCAGGAAGGCAAAAATCCAAAAATATCTGAATTCACAAAGTTGCAGTTTCCACTCATATATTTTTAAAAGAAAATATAGGGGAATATAAGTGCTAACAGGAATTAATAGGGCAGTGAAGCCAGTGAAGGAACTTAATTGTGTCCTTAACTTAGTTTGTAGGCTAATAATATGAGGAAGCTGTAATGAAGCAGTGAGGATTAGAATTTAATAGCCTATCCTGGCCCACATTCTAAATGGCTAACCAGTCCTTAGAGGGTCATTTCCTTAGATTTGCAGGTGTGTCTACATGAGCGCCGCATTAAGCAACCACAAAGAGGTCTCTAGAACATATTTTCTGACCTTCCTGGTTTGTTGGAGAAAAGCCCAACACATTTCTAGTTATAAAAAACGATTATGCCGGGCGCAGTGTCTCACACCTGTAATCCCAGCACATTAGGAGGCTGAGGCAGGCAGATCACCTGAGGTCAGCAGTTCAAGACCAGCCTGGCCAACATGGTGAAACCCTGTCTCTACTAAAAATAGAAGAAAATGAGCCAGGTGTGATGGCGGATATCTGTAATCCCAGCTACTCAGGAGGCTGAGGCACAAGAATTGCTTGAACATGGGAGGTGGAGGTTGCAGTGAGCCGAGATCATACCACTGTACTCTAGCCTGGGTGACAAGAACAAGACTGTTCAAAACAACAACAACAATTGATTCCAATGTGGAAACACAGAGACTCTGTGTCTTGTATCAGAGAAAGGGCTAGGGCTTTGGGGTAGAGCTTCAGCAGCTTGAATAGCTGACTTAAGGAAGCTCTGCTTTACCGTATGACATGAGCTAAGACAAATGACCTTTGCCTTCATGTACAACTCCTATGCTTTGTTGCTATAGAATTCCTTTGTGCTAGAGGATGGAGTCAGTATTACCTGGACTTTGAAATTTAGGAGGAAGGTTTTTTCCTAGAACCACGCCAAAACATTTGGGATATCAATTTGCAACTGATCTTGAGTCCTTCCTCTGGGCTCATTCCCTTTTTTTATTGGCCCCAAAGAGGCGCATTCTCTGCGTGTCCTGACTCTAACTTACATTTCATCTTCAACAACATCTATTACTGAGCTTGCAGAACCCTATAGGTGCCCCTCCATCCATCTTCCTGCAGAACACCTGACACTCAACTCTGAATGTCTGCTTATCAAATATTCTAGTTCAGACCCTCAGTGCCTCATATATTAAATATTTAGGCTCTGAAGGGAACCATACAATCTTTGCATGGTGTCTCCATTCATTCAACAAATGTTAATTCTCTGTCTTTGTGGGCAAGGCCCTGAGGTGGATGCCAGGGCGGCTGCTGCCAAAAGCAAGATTAAGACTCTGCAGCTTTCATTGAGCTTTCCTTCATCAGCTTCTCATTTTGCAAACAGGACTTAGATGTGGATTACACTATACATTTAAAATGAGCCCCTCAATTGCTTGATCCCAGGAGGTAGAGGCTGTAGTGAGCTGTGATCGTGCTGCTACACTCCAGCCTGGGCAACAGAGAGAACCTGTCTCAAAAAATAAAAAAAATAATAAAATAACCCCCTCAATGTTAAAGCAAGGCTAGGTCATATCCTTCTTCCTTTTTCTTTTACAGTGTAAGAGTGTGATACCGTTTTAGGTAAATCAGCTGCTTATCCCTCTGCCATAAGGAATAGAAGGATGAGCATTCACCTTGGGCAAAAGTCTGGCTTAAAAAAAAACCCATCTAGGTGTGGTGGCTCACACCTGTAATCCCAGCACTTTGGGAGGCTGAGGTGCAGATCAATTGACTTTGGGAGTTTGAAACCAGCCTGACCAACATGGAGAAACCCCATCTCTACTAAAAGTATGAGATTAGCCAGGCATGGTGGTGAATGCCTATAATCCCAGCTACTTGGGAGGCTGAGGCAGGAGAATCACTTAAACCCGGGACGTGGAGGTTGTGGTGAGCCAAGATCATGCTATTGCACTCCAGCCTGGGCAACAAGATCGAAACTCTGTCAAAAAAAATAAACCCTCATAAATTGAAATGGATCAGGTCCTTCCTATGAGAAGCAAGGACCTACAGTGTTTATATTGTCAGAAAGGTTAAATATCAATTGAAATAACAACAAAAGTTGTATTTTTGTATTAGTTCAGGTCCTCCATGAAGCAGATTTCAGGATGGGATTAAACATGCAAAAATGTTATTAGAGGAAAAGACTGTGTGAGAGGAGGTGGAGAGGGAGTGAAGTGTGGGAGGGCTGCAATGCAAGTCTAAGCATTGAATTTTGGAGGTGTGCAAATATTCAAACCACAGCACACTGTAATTTTCATCAGAGAACGTAAGCACAGCCAACTTCCTGCCCACTTTCTAGAATCTGTCCTTAATGATCAGAATGGGGCAATGAGTCCAGGCCCCTCTTGAGCCATTGAACAGCCAACTCCTACCAAAATCTCAGTCAAAATTCTTTGGGCAACATAATTTAAGGTATATTCAAAGTGCTATGAAAGTTATAACACTTGTAAGCCACATTTATCAACCGCATTACAGACTTACACCTTCCATATTATACCTTTGATTTTACTAGGGATTTGTATTCATTTGTTTTTGCATTGCTTTAAAGAAATATCCAAGACTGGGTAATTTATAAGAAAAGAGGTTTTTAATTGGCTCATGGTTCTGCAGACTGTGCAGGAAGCATAGTGGCATCTGCTTCTCGGGAGGTTCCAGGAAGCTTCCAGTCATGGCAGAAGGCAAAGGGGGAGCAGGCACGTCACATGTAGAGAGCAGGAGCAGGAGATTGCAAGGGGAGGCACCACACACTTCCAAATGGCCAGATCTCACAAGAACTCACTCACTATTGTGAGGACAGTACCAAGGGCATAGTGCTAAACCATTCCTGAGAAATCCACCCCCATGATGCAATCATCTCCCACCAGGCCCAACCTCTGACATTGGGGATTACATTTCATCATGAGTTTTGGGTGGGGCACATATCCAATCTCTATCAGGATTACAACTGCATTTACTGTGAAAACACTGAGGAGGACATTATTCATTATAGGACACATCTTTTACTCAGAGTCCACCATGAAGACTGAACATCTTGGGGTTGGGTCCTAGGAATCACACAAAAAATAATACAAAAAATAATAATCTCGTCACCCCCCTTACTATAGCCATACTAACACTAATAAACTTATATTTTTATATGCACCTAACATATTCCATTTCAATAACAATATTCCCCACATCTAATAATACAAAAATTAATTGACAACTCAAATGCACAAAGTATTCCTCCATCCATGAGAAACTGTTACGTGTCCTCACTTCATATGATAAAAATTATGTATTTCTTCACATTTCCTTCTGTGTTGTGCAATCAGGAACCAGAGAGCCTGTGCCTATGCTAAATCTTCATGGTCCAGATATTTGTTTTGCTCTTCCTTACCTTGATTTGCCCTCTTGTATGCCCATTTTATTAATTTTGTGTCTTTTATAAGTTCTCCTACCTAGATCGTTTGATAAAGAGGCGGGAAATTTTGGAATTAAACCTAGATGTCCTTATTGAATAGCACTCTTCTGTGCTGAAAAAAATGTAACAACCATTTTTCCATTCTGCAAATGCCATTAACATCCTCCTTTCTTCAAAACCTCACTATCAAAAATGAGCATAACAATCATAGTCTTAAAACAGATGCATGGTGACATCCTAGCTTTTTCCCCAAATTAGAGAGAACCTGCACAATGATTGGGACATGATGATTTAAGGGGCACAAAAAAAAAGTTGGAAGGGGGACTGAAAATACCATCCCTCTGGACATATGGTTTGTTTTTCTGGAGACCTGCCCAATCCAGATGCTATCTAAGATCCCCTCAGCCAAGAGTCATCTCATTAGCCTACAAAAGATACTCTTTTTTGGGGGTGAGGAGAGGAAAGGATGGGGTCTCCCTCTGTTGCCCAGAGGTACAATCTGTCCCCAGAGCTGAAATGCGGTAACTCAATCATAGCTCACTACAGCCTCAAATTCCTGGGTTCTAGTGATCCTCCCCCATCAGCTTCCAAAGTAGCTGGGACTATAGATGTGTACCACCATACCAGGCTAAATATATATATCGTATATATATATGATATATATATTTAGCCTTTATATATATATGGCCTTTATATATATATATATATATATATATATATAGAGAGAGAGAGAGAGAGAGAGTGAGAGAGAGAGAGAGATGGGTTCTCACTGTGTTTCCCAGGCTGGTCTCAAACTCCTGGCCTCAAGCGATCCTTCTGCCTCAGCCTCTGGGGTAGCTGGTATTACAGGTGTGAGCCATTGTGCCAGGCTCCAAAAGACACTCTTATCCAAGGGTGCTCTGTGCTGGGAACTGGGGATGAAGACCAAATATTCATTCTTTATTTACATCATATATTTAATGCTGGAGATTATTACTAAAGTGTGATTTGTTATTCAATGGATTTAACTATGCAAAAGGTGGGAAATTATACCCTTGGACAGCAAATCAAAAACAAATTTATATTCCCTAAAACTTTAGCTACTAGTTATAAGCATGACCTCAAAAAGAATTCTCTGGGTAAAACAAAATTTAAATTCTATAC